GAGCAGTAGTGCATTATTTCAAGTGAAAGTCTCTTTCTGATAGATATACTTCCATATCTCAACAAGGGTCTGAAGGTTTGTTATGATCAGCAGAACTGGACGGGGAGTAAAATCTACAGATAAGATTCCATGTAAACTCTAGGACTTGCAATTGCACAACTGTCCGAGAAGTTCCTAGAGTCCTCTGGATCATATGACTGTTTCTAGAGAACCACACGGCCCCTTCTTTAAATCGGAACAACAGATCTTTCCTGCAAAACAACATATTTGTCCTTGTTGGACTGAAAGCAGAAGGCAATCCAGGCAAGCAGGTTAGACCTGCACTGTTTGTGACTGATAACAGTCAATTCAAGGCAGCAGAAAAAAGTGAGTCTTGGCTTATGTTTAGCTTATTTTTTCTTTATTTTTATCAAGCCTCAATGTTAGACATTGATAACTTTTTAAACCCTGCAAACATTTACACTGTCTGAATACTTACAAAGCTAGCCATTCAAGTATAGAAACACACACACACACACACACACACACACACACACACACACACACACACACACACACACACACACACACACACACACACACACACACACACACACACACACACACACACACACACACACACACACACACACACACACACACACACACACACACACACACACACACACACACACACACACACACACACACACACACACACACACACACACACACACACACACACACACACACAGGTCACTGTAACCAGCTCCAATAAAGAAACCCTTGTAGGAGCAAGACTAACTTTCAGCCAACTCATTTTCCACCTATCTCCAGTCTCTAAGAACGCCCCTGTATGTTTCTCCCTTGCTCTACTTAAGACCACATGTTTAAACACTCAAAGTTGAGAGACCCCTCGCCATCCATTCTTTGCAATTGTCCTCCCCTCTTTCTCTCTCTTCACAACATCACATGTTCGGCACAGTGGAGCCACAGTTTCTTGCTCAATCAGGAACAGACCTTTGTACAGACTAACCCCAGTGCCAGTGTACATGTGACGCTGACGTGCTCACTCAAACTTTCACTTCATGTACACATCTATATGACTCAAAACCTTTTATTTTTTTCAACCTTTATGAATCCCTACAATAAGCTGGAATTAAACATGCTCTTTAACCAGAAATGTCTCTCTTTCTGAGCTCCAGATTGGGAACATGGGAATGATCAATCTAAAAGCAATAGTTTCTTTGGTTACCAAAACATCCATAACAAATACAGTCATTAAGAAGGAACACAACAATTCAGGAATGCTTGCACATTTTTAGCTCTGCTGTATTTTAAGGTTGTAGGAGAGATTGTTTTTCAAACACACTCCTCATCTCCGGCTTCCTCAGAAATGAACATGGTGAATTACACATCATTGATGGTGAAATGAATTGCGTTTCTCTGATTAAAAAGGAGAACAAGCTGTACCATAGACATACCACAATCTGGAAAGCACCAGTGGAAGTTCTGACTACTTTATGGTAGACCTCAGTTATCAAAGTCATTTATCTGAGTTGAGAGTTTTGAGTTGACCAGATGGCTGAGCTCACACATATGACATCATCACATAAGAGTGGTTATAGTGACGGATGTTCAACTTTAGCCTCCTTCCATTAGTCTCCCAATCAACAGAATTAAGCAGTTCCTGGTTCAAAATTGACCTTGTAGAGCCAACAGATCTCCAACCTTCGGCTGTTGCCATACAAAAACCAATCACCTAACTACATTGTTGCCATAGAATTAAAGCAGAGCTGTTTATTGGAAGAAAACAACTGGTAGCTTTGGAAAACTGAACAACATAACACAGAAATTAACTCATTAAACAAAGTACAACTTGAAGGTCAACAAAATACACTAAAGCTTTACATAAAGCTCAAGTATAAGAGAAACATCTACAACAGTGTTTTACATGGAAGCAGGTGTGTTTGATAGTTGTTCTTTGACCTTTAACCCAGTTTACAGGTGTATTGGTACTACTGCAGTGAGCTTCAGTGCATGCTTTAAAAAGCATAAAAGATGGACTGTATGGTTCACTGCATTCAGAGTTAAATGCTTTGTTAGCAGCAAGTCTAACTACATATACTACTGTATTATGTAAACTACAATGCTCAGCATATACAAGTAGACCCCTCACAAGTCTGTCTTTTAAATTCATGTTTTCAGTAGAAAGCTCTACATTATTATTTGCGTGCATATACATTAGATTAGTCAATATTAAAGCCAAATCTAGAGCTTACATAACAAAATAACTTAAAACTGTTCACTAACGAGTACACCCAAATTTCTGTTATAAAAAATATTGGTCACACTTATAATTTTTTTGCAATACTTTGCTTGAATTTAATAGTATTATTTTTCAATTTCTAAATATGTTTGGTAACTAAAATATTATTCTAACAAATATATCTGTTTAAGAAATCAGTTTTGTTTAAATGCTCCAACATTGCCTATATTCACAGAGAAATTGATAAAATAATTCATTTTCAAAATGGGGTGAGTTCAATCACGCTGAACACTGTATATATAACAAATACAGAATAATATTAAGAGACGTAATGGTCAGTTTACATATGTTAAAACACAAGTGTCCATAAGGTGTATTAACAGTTATATCAATTACCATCTTATGCCTTTTGTTTTTTAAGGGAATACCCAAACAATAAATTCTGTCATCCCGTATTCTCCCTTCACTTGTTCCACAAAGGTTTAAAATATACACCTGGTTAGGTGACCCTTGGAATTATGACTCACTCAAAGGAAAAGAGTTCATTTTCCAGGTATGCTCACACGCCATAGTCTCTCCTGTGTAGCTGGACATTTGAATTAGGGCTGGGCATTTTGGCCTGAAATTAAAATCTTGATTAATTGACTACTTCGATTACAATTTATGAACGATTATTTATTTTTTGGCCTCATAGATCACAAACAGGTTTTGTACAGTAAATATGCTCACATACTACAAGTGAGAGATTTTTATTGAAGGGTGCATTACCTGATTTTAAAATAATTGAAGGAAACGCAAACTATCTACCATCTTTGAGTATTTAAAATGTGTAGTTACGTTTTTTTGAGAGGTACACGCGTATGCGACTGCACGAAGGCTGCACCGAACTATACGCATGTGTTTATGGAGAAGTATAAAGTAGCCTTAACAGAGCGGGGTCACGTGACTCCACACACAGTAGGGAAAGTAATTAAAAAATATGTGCCTTGAAAAATTAGATCGTTCGATTCTAAATGTCAATTTCGATTACTTTTCGATTAATTATTAAGTCCTAATTTGAACCAATTAAATGCTTATTAACTTAAAACTATTTTGGCATTGATGCAACAAAGAAAAATTGGCGCATCTAGACACAGAAAACTTGATCCACCAGAAACATGATGCAAAATAAACACCTAACAGGGTCTATTACAGGGTTTTAAGATGCGCTTAAAATTTAATCAGCCTGGCCTTGTTGTCAAGGATCTACCTTAACCTGAAAAACCAATGGGGCGTCTGTTCCCTCATGGGGATGGGATAGTTTTACACCTGCCCTGTCTGACCACACCACACCACAAGCTCGGCAACCAACCGCCACATGGCTAACAATAATCCACACAAACATTTCCCGAGTCAGATTACACAACACACAACTATTGTGTGGAGGATGCATGCAAATAACTGAAGTCAACAGCTCATGCAAATACAAACAGAGTCCTTTCCAGACCTGCCTGCACTGTTAGAACTATCTGCATTCTGTTATATAGATGTGGACAATAGTTAATGAAAACCGATCAAGCAATATAAAACAAAATGAAAAGAAAAACCCCCTTCCACAGCATATCACAGTGTATAAACTAGGGTTGGGTGATGTGCTAAAAATGCAATCTCCATTATTATTTTCCATATTGAACAATAACTATATATATATATATATATATATCCTGATACAAGTTGTTAATGCTTCCAGATTTAAAAGAGTCCCCCAATAATAACTGAAGCCACAAAAATTAGAGGATCCCTTAAATGGTGGCCGAAAATTTGATACATCTCTAATATCAACACACTTGTTGTACATTTCTGCTGTGTGATTGGCTCTTAGATCAATATAGAGTAAAAAAAGTCCAGAGCTAATCTCCATTACAGACATAAACTATCGTGACTCGATATAATTTCATTTATCGGTGCAGCCCTAATCTAAAACTATCCTCTTGACAACCTTTTGAGCCCATACAGACACCTCTGAGACTGAAAGATTCTCTGTATATTAGACTGCGATGAGTAATTAGAGCTCACATAAACAAATAACACACAGGTACATGATCCCTACGCCGTTCTCCAACAAACCACACCTCAAATGATGAATCTGCTGGTCTCTGGAGCCATAATGAATTCCAGATGCAAATTAGAGTCTGTGCTGTCATTGAAAAGCATTCATTAATACTTCATTAGCTTTTATAAACACTCCATTGAGTACTCAAGTGAGTGCACTTATCTTTTTGAGTGAGAATTATTTATAAGCCAGCAGTATATGCTACTTGGAGGTCCCATACTATTAAATGCAAGCACTTTAAAGTGGATGAAATGCAGGTTTCTGTGCCTTATGCGACAGATTAGTGTAGTCTGTGGAGCTTTATGAGCCCATGTGAAACAGCCAACATATGAAAAGTGATTGCACATCAGAAGAATGCTTAATGTGCTAAATTGCTGGAAATCATTAAAATGAAATTTAGGCTACTGAGTGCCATACTTATGAGGAATTGTTTATTAGAATTAATGCATAATGCATTAAAATGAGTGAATGTGGCTACACTGCTGGTTTTAAGCATCTCCTTAATTTACATTAATCCAAAACCTCACAGATTTTAGCTTTATTATGCCCCACTACCTTAACAAAAGGGATAATATTGGTTGATCACTATTTATTTTATATTAATGACTGCATGATGGTTGATCAAGATAAAAAGCAACATATCTGATATACACCACTCACGTTCTGTCCGGGGCTGTCCGATCTGTGATCTGTGCAGGACCTCATGTTGTCCTGGTGGTCTGAGGTTGATGTTTGGGTGGGGTCGGTATCGCTGCTTGTGCAGACTCTGTGTCTCAGGACAAAGGCGGTGCCCTCGTCCTCCCTCACCTCCCCCCCGTCCAGCTTGATTCCTGTTGCTTCTGCTATTTCGTAATGTTGCTGGACCACACTGGACCAAGAGGGCGCTCGACCCCAAATCCGTCCTCCGTGAATTCACAGCAGAATATGAGATTTACTGATGGAGCTGGGGGAAAACGCAGGAAGCAAATGTTAAATATCACAGTTGCACAGGAGATATGTACACTACTGTTCAAATTTGACATGTAAATCCTCTTCAATTAAGGCTATTCATTTCTGTTCTCTAAAACAAAACAAAAAAATTAAGAAGATATGCATCTGGCATTTAAATTACATAAGTCACTGATTAATGTGCTTTCTATAAATAGATCAAGAGCCCAATTAAACTTTAGAGAAACTCACAAATCTTGTTTCACAACTGGTTTTAGTAGTACATAACGGGGTTTGTCAAAATGTCTGTGCAACAACTGATAAAGCCTTAATCCAAGCAAGAATGCAATAATTTCAACACAACTGCTGTAATCAGATGTTGCAACCCCTGTGGTTCCACCAGTGTATGTGCACCACATAAGGGTACTTGAGTTAAAAGCGATCACACCAGTCCAGTGTGGCTAAATATCCCAAGCTGGGCCAGAAAGCTAATCTGGAGCCCTGAACTTCAACTTTACATGACAAAACGAATCGTTTTAACCAGACTAATCAGGATCTCTTGGCAATCTGCATCGTTCTGATGAAATACAGATTACCCCAGTAATTATGCCACATCTACAGCTTTGGAGCGATAACTGAAATCAATCAGCCGTCTCCTTCAAACACTTCTCCTAGTCTGAAGTGCGTTTAATTTGAGTTGGTATCAGCTGCAAGGCCTGAGCAGGCTGCCAAGTTCACAGAAGCGAGAGGCTTCGCAGGCACAGCTGTGAAACTGACAGCATCCGTCTGCTTAGAGTTTCACTCCTTTTGTAAATGAAAAGTCTGGCAGCAGCTGCGCGTTCACAAATCAGGAAATCAGGTTCAGCCAGAATCTCTAATTGCGAGGTGGTCCAGTATGGCGGAAAAACATGAAGATGCCCTTTGCTTCTCAAGTTCTGGTGTCGCTTTAACCACTTTCAGTATCGCATGACACCGTATTGGTGTGAAACTGACCCCTCTTGCTCCCTTGGCCTACTGTGCAGGAGTTTTGTTCCCGAGAAGCAAGCTGATACAAACTGTTTGAATGTCTCCATAGATCAATCCACACATTCAGAAAACAGGGAAGAGGTGGCAAGTCATTACTGGTTAATTATCAGCTCATTCATTATGTTCATTTAATAAGTCCCCGCTCAAAGGCCCTGGCATCATTTGACTCCCAAGAGTGCCAAAATCAGGAGTCCAATTCCCAAGGAACGATAATGTTTTAATGAATGCACTGCAAATCCATTTGGGTTAAAAGCAAATGTAAATACACATTAATTTTTTTTTACATTATTATTATTATTATTACCGTTTTTTTTTTTTTTTTTTTTGGATATTCAAGTTTATATAATTGCCAATTAGGCTAATAATAATAATAATAATAATATGTGTTAGGGATCAGAAAAATTCTAAATCCCTTATAGCCTTTTGGGCAGGCACTCTTCAGTGTTTTGTAGCCCGAAATAAACTCAAGTGACCCAAATAGTAAAGACATTACTTACCAAATAAAACAAATAATAAAACAAATACATGGTTATAAATTACCATATTTTAATGATTTCTTTTTTATTTAATATTATTTTTTTAAATAATTAAAAAAATAGATAAATTAAAAAAAATAAAAAATAAAAATCACTGAAATAGACACGATTTTTTCTTCCTATTTAGATTAATACCCCACTGGGACGTCGGGCTAGCAGTAATTTAGACAAGTGTGCTTTGAATGTAGAGCACAAATTCAATTTCACACATTTCATTCTCATATTGAACACAACACATTTATAAATATACCAGACAGCATGACTGAAGACCCTCATGATCTCTCATGCTACTGAAAGTTCCGCACCACAACCAGTTATCTTGATAAACATGAGCAGATGTTGAAAATGTCGTAGTTTCATGCTGAACACATTTAGAATATAGCGACTGAGATGCACTGGACATTGATTACACTATCTGGAAAAACATAAGTACTTTGCAGATGGTCAGTCCTAAACATTGGATGCAAAAGCCAAAATGGATTTTAGGACAAAGCGGACATTCCTGGAAAGAAAGCATCTGAAAGAAATTGGAAACAATCTATTCATGAGCAGAACACACTTTCAGACAAGCAGGTAGTCAATTTCCATTGTGTAGCTAAGACTTGCCTTGCGGAAACAACACAGAGAAAGAAAGAAATCAATTGAGACACCAGTCTGGAAAAGTGCTTACCAGAAATACAAAGAAAAAGACGACGAAATGACATTTGAAATTGATTTTCCTTTGCCAGTCAAACAGCTGACCAACCAGCGGCTGACTTTTCTGTGTTTTCGACTCTAAACTGTCACGGCTTGGAAATTTGTCAGCGATTTCATACCCTCAAAAAGGCAAGTTTCATTCTCGGAAGTCTTCATGCTCTGCTTTGGTACAGCAAGAACTGTCATAGCACACTTAAGTGAGTGTCAGTGATCCGTGACACCAGACTTTAAACTGCATCTCTCTTCCTACAACTCCATGCTCACCATCTCTTACATTTTATTCACTCTCTCCAGAACTTGCATCGTCCAGAAATGTGAAGAAAGCATTTCATGAGGCCAATAGGACAATGCAAAAAGACAACTAGTAAGCAGACTGAGAAGGACTGGAATAGTAGTAAGCTGTGTGTCACGGTCTCCTTGTATTTAGAACAAAGCCCACTTGACCCGGGATGTACTTTGCGGCATCAGCTGTTGTTCAAGTGTGAGCATAAAGGAAATGGGTCACTATAAGAAGAGAGACGACGATGTACACACTTGCAAGCACAACACCTATGGATAAACAGGCTGCAAAACATGATGCTGCAAACTATACCATAACAACTGTGCTACTTAGATGACGGACTAAATTGGACAGAGCGATGCTTGCATTACGCCTGACACGTGAAAAGCTATACTGGAGCGATCTCAATTTACAGAAGGTTGCACACACGCAAACTAGTAGAAGGGGTGATTCATGGAAATGGGGCCTAAGTTTTTTGTTTTGCCATCTCTTTTGAATTATGTATACATGATGCTTGTGAATTTGTGTAGCAACTGCAGCAGAAAATTTATATCTCAGGAGCAGAGCTCAAGATCTAAAATAAAAATCAATAATTATTTAAATATAATAAATATTTTATTTAAATTTCAATAATAATAACAACAAGAACAATAATAATACTTTTAATAATAATTATAGTTATTATTTTAATAATATATTATTATTATTAAAAAGTAATAATTATAATTATTATCAATATTTAAAATATGTTTTTATATTTAAATAATAATTGCAATTAAATATTATTACTACTACTACTACTATAAAATAATATTAATGTTATTGTTACTGTTGTTATTATTAATATTATAAATAATAATAAATATTAATTATTATTTTATAAAATATAAATTATTATTTATTAGCATTAATGATAATAAATATTTTCATTATATTTAAATAAATAAATAAACTATATAATAATATTGAAATTAGTTTTAATTTTCCCTGATATCTCCATGACTGAGAGGTCTAAACAGTCCATTGACCCTATAAAAGGCCAATAATTTATTTATTCAATATATATATATACATACACACACACACACACACACACACACACACACACACACACACACACACACACACACACACACACACACACACACACATATACATATATACATATACACACACACACACACACACACACACATATATACATATACATATACATATACACACACACACACACACACACACACACACACACACACACACACACACACACACACACATACATATACATATACATATACATATACACACACACACACACACACACACACACACACTTCAATAATTTAAAAATACCAACAGCAAAAATAGAGTAGATAAAATACAAAAGATTTGATACAGAATGTAGTATGTAGTTATAAAGAGTAAGTTATTTTGAACAGATGAGTTTTAAGTCTGGATTTAAACAGAATAATAATTTAAATATAATCTATATTTTCACAATATTAAAAAAATTATTATTATTTACATCAACCTTTGGATATTTAAAATTAAAGAAAATATTTAATATTACTACTAAAAAAAGAAAAATATTTCAAAAGGTTGCAGGCTAGAAATCAAAGTTTTACAACTCCCTGAAAGAGTGATGATTATGGGAAGCGTTATTCTTACACAAAGCAAGTGAGAACAGACAAATCTTTGTGAGTTTGTAAGTGCACAACATGAGTGTACATTGTGTTCAGTGACACCCTGCAGCAAAATATTCAAAGGGCAGATCTAACGTGTCCCTACGAGACGCATAAATACACAGCAGCAACTGGTTTTCCTGAGGATTAAAGACCAAGGGAAACATGTTGTCTAAAACAAAATAAGTGGGAGAGTTGAGAAACCCAAACAAAAGCGGTTGTTGGAGCCAGTCGTTGGGTGTGCAAGTATGTCATGTGACTGCTAAGTGAGCGAACAGAGGGGTTAGAGGTGCCTTTGTGTGCAGTCTGTCGGTCATGAGACCAGCGTTGACCACCAGCGTAGAATCAACTTCGGTCACAGAGGAAGAAGCCTTTTGTTAGAGAGTCAAAGAGGAAAATACAACTGCAAATCTTTATACAGTTGAAGTCAGACTTATTAGAGCCCTTGTATATATTTTTCCCCCAATTTTTGTTTAACAGAAGACGTTTTTTTAAACACATTTCAAAGCATAATAGATTTAATAACTCATTTCTAATAACTGATTTGCCATGATGACAGTACATTAACCCCCGGTTTCACAAACAAGGTTTAAGGCTAGTCAAGATTAAATTGCATGTTTGAGCTGTCTCAACTCAAAATAACTTGTAGTGAGATGTCTTAAATATGTCAGTGTCATTTTTTTTGTCTCCAGGTGCATATCAGTAATATTTTTCTAAGGCCATTTTTATAAATTTGTCTTAAATAGCCTAATTTAACTAAGACCTAGTCCTGGCTTAACCTAAGCCCTGTTTGTGA